GCTCAAGGCCAGGAATTCAAGATCAGCCTGGGCAAAAAAGCGATACCTTGTCTCTTAAAATAAATAAATAAATTATTAATAATAATAAAAGAAATCACACAAATTACAAATCTGTAAAAGTGTACAGAAACTACAGTTTTAAAAAATCTTTCTAGTGATTTGAACCTTTTATGAAGTGATGCACTTTATTGCTAATAATACTTTCTATCTTAAAGTCTATTTGTGTGATAATAATATAACTACATGAACTTTTTTTAAATTATGATAAAACTAACTATGGTGTATCTTTTCCCATTATTTTACTTTCAACCTTTTTGAAACTTTATGTTTTTAATCTTTTTCTTATAAAGAGCCTATACTGGTTTTTTCTTAAATTCAACTTTAAAAAACCTTATTTCTTAACTGGAGTATTTGATCCATTTACATTTAGTGAAATTACTGATATTTCTGAGTTTAGATCTGCCATCTCATTATGTGTTTTATTAAGCCACCTCTTCTATGTTCCTTTTCCTCTCCCTTCATGTGTTCTTTTGGGTTGGTTACTTTTTATTATTCTATGTTTTTTAATCTACTAGTTTGGGAGTTCCACACACTTTTCCACTGATTATCCTAATGCATCATGAGGGGTTTTTTTGTTTTGTTTTATCTGGCTTATTTATTTATTTATCCTAATTGCCTGGGTAGAACCTCCAGTACAATGTTAAATAGAAGTGACAAGAGCACATATCCTTTTTTAGGTCCTGATACTAGGAGGAAAACATTCAGTGTCACGCTATAGTACCTAGCTCTCAGCTGAGATTTTTAAGCTCAGATTTTATCTCTATGAATATTGTAAGCATAGTGGTTCTACAATCCATATTGAATCATTTCGGTACTGTTTTTTTCAGACAGAGTCTCACTCTATTGCCCAGGCTGGAGTGCAGTGGCATGATCTCAGCTCACTGCAACCTCCGCCTCCTGGGTTCAACCGATTCTCCTGCCTCAGCCTCCCAAGTAGTTGGGATTACCTGTAATTTTGTATTTTTAGTAGAGACAGGGTTTCACTATGTTGCCCAGGCTAGTCTTGAACTCCTGACCTCAGATGATCCACCCGCCTCAGCCTCCCAAAGTGCTGGGATTACAGGCATGAGCCACCGTGCCCAGCTTCATTTTAGTATCTGATGCCTCTTTTGAACTACTTTTTCTGTTGGTTCTGGCTTATGTTGTTTTATCTCTCGGTGTGTCTCATTGTTTTTCATAGTTCTCAGGCCATTTTTAACTTATTAATAGAAATAATTTGAAGTCTTAGATGGTGTTATTTTCCTTCAGAGAGACTTTTTTTCCTTCTGTCAGGTACCTGATGGGAACCAAGGTTTTCTGAGTCACCAAGGTGAAGTATTAAAACATAGTCCATATCTGTCTTAGTCAATTTGGGCTGCTATAACAAATTACCCATAGACTAGGTGGCTTAAACAACAAATACTTATTTCTCACAGTTCTTGAGGCTAAAACAATCAAGGTCAAGGTGCTGGTAGATCCAGCGTCTGGTGAGGCACTCTTCTTGGTTTGCTGATAGCCATCTTCCTACTATGTCCTCACATGGTAGAGAGCAGGGAGACAGCAAACTTCTTATAAGGGCATTAATCCCTTTCCTTCCACCCATTAATCCCTTTTCACCCATATGACCTAATTATCTCCCAACAGCTCCACTGATAGATATGGTTTAGATCTTTGTCCCCACCCAAATCTTATGTCAAATTGTAATCCCCAGTGTTGGTGATTGGACCTGGTGGGAGGTGATTGGATCATGGGGTTGCTTTCTCATGAATGGTTTAGCACCATCCTTTTGGTACTGTTCTCATGATAGTGAGTGAGTTATCATGGGATCTGCTTGTTTAAAAGTGTGTAGCACTTCCCCCTCATGTTCTCTTGCTCCTGCTCCCACCATGTAAGATGACTGCTCCCCCTTTGCCTTCTGTCATGATTGTAAGTTTCCTGAGGTCCCCCCAGAAGCCAAGCAGATGCCAGCATCATGCTTCCTGTACAGCCTGCAGAACCATGAACCAATCAAGCCTCTTTTCTTTATAAATGACCCAGTCTTGGGTATTTCTTTATAGCAGTGCAAGAATGAACTAATACATCCACCTTCTAATACCATCAAATGTGGTGGATTTGGAGTCAAGATTTCAACATATAAATTGGGATGAGGACACAAACATTTAGCAATATCCCTTTGAAATCTGAGTCTTGAGCAAGGAGTGTTTCCACAATTTTCCCACCATTACAGGGCACAGGATTCTTATCCCTGGCCCTGTCACGGTAGTGTGTGACTCTACTTTTCATCCTTTTCGCTGGAATAGGAACATGTACCCAGCATAAAAATATTTTCAAATGGTGAAGTCCTCCAGGGTCTTAACCTCCTGCCTCTAACTTTTATCTCCTTCCTACACTAACCTGCCAAAAGTGTAACCTAGTCCCAATCTTTGAACACCACCTGGGCAGAAGCAACTGAGGCTGCCTATCTTTCTCAAGCTGATCACAATTTCATTTCTTCACTATTGTTTTTCCTTATTGTTCCTTTTAAGACTTTTTTTTCTGCCCAGCTTTTTAGTTGTCTTTAGAGGGAGGGTTATTACCAAACCCAGAGTATTCTATTTTCATTTTAGTAACATTGCTTTCCAAATAGTAGATGAGAGGATATTTTTCTTTTTAGATGTATAATAATCCATCTGATTAACAAAGAAAGAATGAAAAAATCTGAATATCATTGTTTTATAACAACCTATGAAGTAATGCATCTAGGCATCTAATTAATATCTGCTAATATCACTAAGTGAGGGATATCCAGGCATCAGCATGGGAGAATACAATGCCACCTATGAAGTAGTCACTCCCTCAAAAAAAATCAAACCTGAATTGAGCCTCTCTAAATCTAGCCTCTGAAGCCATCAACAAATCTATAAGAAATGCTGAGGACAAAGGGACACGTTAAAATATACTATAGAGATGTGATAAGCAAACTCCAGGGTATGAGACATTCAGGAGAAAAAATTCAGTTCCTTAACAAATAAATTGTAATGGAAAAAAACAAGGTTGGGAGGACTTATATATTAAAATAGATTTATGAAACAATGAATCACAATGCATTGATCTTATTCAAATCTTGATATTTTAAAAACTGTCAAAACTATGCTATTTGTAATGTAATTGAGAACCTGAACACTGACTCAAAAATATTTGATATTTTAAAGCATTACATTTTTAAGTATGATAACACCATTGTGGTTATGTTTAGCAAAAAAGGATTGTGTATATTTGTGTCTGCACATATATGTGTATATATGTACATATAGTATATAACTGCATATTATATAATCTACTACACATACACACATGTATTAAGTATAATAGTTCTGGATAAAAAATTTGCTTAAAACTAATACAGGGAGGTAAGAAGTGAAGGAGAGTGTGGATGCAGAAAAAAAAAAAGACTATTATGTAGAGAATGGGAGAATGGGTTGGTGGGGGAAAAGATTGCAAACAAGATCATTTCGGAGCCTATTATAATGTCCAGATGATAGATGATGCTGGCATGGACTAGGGTAATGAAGCAAAATAGAAGAATTTGAGATATATTTTGACTTTCAGATTTCTGTGAGAGATTCATGAATATGTAAAGTAGATGACTGCCAAGGAGAGGTAACATAACTTGGGATGAAAGTATATCAATGAAAGGATGATTTTTAAATCTAGGGGAATTAATGAGCCCATTCAGGTCAAGGATATTAAGGCAAACATTTATTGAACCCTAATATATCAGTCACTTAGTAGATTTACAGCCTGGATGGGGGAGACAAGTCAATGGCAAATCCTGTGATAAAATACGGGCAAAGTGGAGTGTCAGGTGCAATGGAAGCAAGACCCCTCTCCACCCTGCTCCCCAGCCAGTCACAGGGGATGAAATGCGAATAAGAGTTAACAAACTTAAATGACATCTGAAATATTGTCACCAACCGAATTGTTCAACTTCCATCAAAGGAAATCATTGTTTTTATTGATAACATCATTCTTTCATTTTTATCTTTTCAAAGACTGAATTTTAATGGTTTCAGGCTCTGGGTAAAATGTCATGCCTGTATCTTCCATGCCTTCAGGAACAGATGGGGCCTGACATGTTCAGAGCAGTCATAAGCAAACTAAAATCCAATTTTCCTTGGTAGGAGGGCACTGGAACAGCCAAGCAGTCTGGAGGGAAAGGCTGGGGCGGGAATATGTTCTCGCTGGTTCACAAGGCCTATTTGTGTAATCCCACGTGCCCTTCAAGTTTTCTCCTGCTCTGAAAGCACAGGCTGCAAATGAGCGCTAGTTTATGGGCACAGCTGATTCCAATCTCTCACTTGTCATGAACTAATGTTTTATGATGTGTTGAGGTGACCCCTGGCTAAAAAGACTGTATGAATGCTTTTTATTGTTTTCTTGTTTGTGATATATTGGGCCAGAGGATATGCGTAACCTGATCAACCTAGTAAAAATTTTAATCTCTTCTATTTTTATGGCCTTCCAGGAAAAATTCCATTTAGGGGAAAAGTAATGACTTTCAAAACTAATTCTCAAACATCCTAACAACACGTTACCAAAAATGGGCCCAGTCCTGTCAGGGGTCTTCACTCCTCTAAAAGTTTTCCTAATAGTTTGTTTGGACATTGTTGTGTTCAAGCACTTGAGAGGCAGGGTCTTTGTCAGTGGAGGGGGTGGTGGGGTCACTGAGAGTTTATGTGGGAGGGATGGGGGAAAGTCTTAGGAGTTACAGAGTCAATTTGCTCTTAGGATGCCATCTTCCAGGGTCTTCGGCCCACCAAGACTAGAGGTTTTGCTTGCTATCAAATCTCTCAAAATAGTAATCACAGCTAAACGAACAATCTCATTCAATTCTTACAATAAGCCTGTCAAAAAGGTATACCACATACACACCTTGCATTTTACAGATAAGGAAACTAAGGCTGAAAAATGCTGTGACTTACCCGGGACCACACAGCTTGGTGGGAAGCAGCTTTGACCTGGTTTCTTCTGATCTCTGGGTCTACTTTAGTAGAGATTTGCTCCCCTCACCTCTCTTCAAAGACCCTAGGAGCCAAAGGAGAAGAGATCTGGGAGCAACATTCATGAGAACTGCAACATCCTCCATGCATAACGTCCTCAGTCTGGTGATTCTTACCTTGTTTCCACCTCATTCCCATAACACTTGATGTACACCTGGTATCACTTCACCAGCACAGGACATACAGGTGGGAGTTAACCATCTGTAATTCAACTTCCTTCCCTCTCACTTAAAGAGAAACACATTAGAATCCAGTTAAGAGTGATACTGAATTCTCTCCAATTTATTTTTATGTAAGTCACTCACAAATATTCCGTTATTAATAACAACAAATTATTAGTAACACAAATTATTTGCAATGTAGTTTCAAACTGTCACCAGAAGATACACTTGTTGCTTTACCCCTCTGATGACCACTTATTCTTTCTCAAACCTACTGCTGTTCTCTACCCATAACCTCCCACTCTCACCTTTATCTACTGAGCTCTCAGCATCTCATGGGAATAAAAAGCATGGGATTCAGAGTTCAGACATACTTAGGTTTGCATCCTGGCTCTGACACTTACTAACTGTGTGACACTGACAAGTAAGTTTCTCTAAGACTCAGTTTTCTCTTGTATAAAATGGAGATAAAATAGTATCTATTTTATGTGAAAATAGACAGTGGCAATAGACAGATATTAATTGGATATGCGAGTTATTACAATGTCTGGCACACATTAACCGCTGACTAAATGTTAACTACCTTTTATTACTTTATCCCATATCTATCCAGTTCACATCCTCCACTCCTTTTCTGTCAAGTTTTCATGGGCCTGTGTTTACTGTGAAGAGTAGCTTATGTTCTGAACTCGCTAGTAAAGGAAACAAGATATTACAAAGAGAATTGGAAGGAAGCCTCAAATTAATCAACATTTATATAATTTCTCCTGTGCCCCAGCCATCCTAAATAGTCAGTTTACCTTATCGAGTGATGTGTTAGTGATAGGGTGAATTGTGAGTTCAGCCATCAGCATTCATTGGCTGCATTGTTGAAGCAGCAGCTCCCCACTGATTTCAGAGACTACTTATCCACTTGGCCATCCACAGTGTTAAGTTTCCTAGATGTTAGGGAAAGGCCTGCCCCAAAGCAAAAGCCAGGTCACCCTCTGTTTCCTCTCCACTCACCAGCATCCACACTTCAGTTCTGCGGCCAAACATTTAATGAAATACAGCCCAAGTAAAGAGAAGCTGCCCCAACTACTGAGATAGAATTAAGAACACTAACTGAGGCAAGACCATAAGTCTGCCTTCACACCACCCCAAGAGGGAAAAGAGATCTGACCCTATGGAGGAGGCTATGCATACATATGTGTGAATCTCAACACCATAAGGGTAGGTGTGTCAACAAGAGATAAATCAGTGGTGGACAAGGTAAAGACCCAATGAAAAGTGACATCACATGTTAGTAAGTCATCAAAGGATTAATGAGATTCTGCCAGAGACATTAACTATTCCCTCACCTGTCAGAGTCATTTTTAAAATCTTGAATCTGACACTGATCTTCCCAAATCTTCACTGCTCACCCAAAATCTAAATGGTACCATGCTATTTAGGAGAGAGTCCCCACCCCATGTTCTTCACATCAGAAATGAAGATGCAGGCCAGGTGGCTCACTCCTGTAATCCCAGCACTTTAGAAGGCCGAGGCGGGCAGATCACTTGAGGTCAGGAGTTCGAGACCAGCCTAGCTAACATGGTGAAACGCCATCTCTACTAAAAATACAAAAATTAGCTGGGTGTGACGGCGCATGCCTGTAATTCCAGCTACCCTGGAGGCTGAGGCAGGAGAATCGCTTGAACCCGGGAAGCAGAGGTTGCAGTGAGCTAAGATTGTGCCATTGCACTCCAGCCTGGGTGACAAAATGAGACTCCATCTCAAAAAAAACCAAAACGATGCACTACTCAACCTCAGCTGAACTCCCTGACAGCTCTCCTCCACTTCACTCTTTTCCTCGGTTGACTCTCCAGCCTAGTTCTACCATCATTACTCCAAACTTTTTCCACTCTCTAAATCCTGAAACAGGAACCTGCACCATACTCCCCTTCACCCCCACCTCCACCTCCACCTCCACTTCCACAGATGACCTTCCCTGTTATTAGGAGGTTTTGTGAAGACTGAAGCTTATACAATTTAGGAAGAAGGATTATTAAAAGAAAATAATATAAAATTAAGAATACAAAATTTTGTATTCATAAAAAGTAACAAGGCAAAAAAAGTTTTAAGTTAACAAATACCATAATGTCATTACATTATAAATGTTTTTAGTAATTAACTACCCGACATACCTCTACAATATTTTTTCTTATCATTTTTTGCCGATGACAATGGCTTTATGATATCATAGACAATGGCTTTATAATATCATTTGACAATGGCTTTATAACATGATAGTGGTTTTATAATATCATTATATGACAATGGCTTTATAATGTCATATTTTAATTACTGAAAATAAGAAACTGGTTTGATATCTTACTGGTTCCTTCATTAATAAATGGGTTAAGTAAAATCTCAGACACTTGTTCATTTTACATGTGTACTGGAGTTATTATTTTACCTTTTTAAAAAATTATCTTTTTGTTGATCTACCAAAATGCCCAATGAATTCACCTGACAGAGGTAAGTAAGCTACATTGCCAGGAAAGTGTATCCAGTAAGTGGCTTGAGTCCAGGCACATATTTTCTTAGCTCCTGGAGATAAACGCCAAGTGGCAATAGAAGTTTAACTTTGCTAACTCTCCATTTCTCTAGTTTCTCTTCCTTTCTACTGTCTGTTTATGTAGATCTGTTTCATTTATGGTTGATAAATTATTTCCCATTGGTGTCAGAAAAGATTAGGAAATTGATTTTAATGTATGACCATTCGGTGGTCTCCAAAACTGGGTTAATAGATTATAGGTATCTGTTTTCTTTCTTTCTTTTTTTTTTTTCAGAGCGTCTCACTATGTTGCCCAGGCTGACCTCAAACTCTTGGGCTCTAGCAACCATCAAGCCTGGGACTGTAGGTGCATGCCACTGCACCTGGCCTTATCTATTTTTCCCTTGAGTGAAGTGAACATGTATAATTTGATTCGTCTTTTTTATCTATTTGTCTCTTTTGAGAAAAACCAATCAAGAATTTCAAGCTCACCAGAAAGGCGAACAGCTCTTTGATGTCTACTTCAGTGTATTTTGGTATTTCTGTATCAACTCTTGACCTGTGGCTAACATAGAACTGAAGCTTTAAGCTCACTATGTATATGTACATCTATGTGTCATAACTCACAAAAGATTGCACCTTTCTTTGTAACTGGATATTTTCCTATCTCCCAGGGGTATCAAAAAATTACATTATTAAGTCTCTTAAATTAAAGGGGTGTTTTTTGGATTGATTTACATAAGAGATAAATAAGTGCTTATAAAGATGGGATATTCCCAAGACACTCAAAAAATCAGAAAAGTGAACTTCATCCCAGCACTTTGGGAGGCTGAGGCAGACAGATCACATGAGGTTCAAGAGTTCAAGACCAGCCTGGCCAATATGCTGAAACCCCGTCTCTAATAAAAATTAAAAAATTAGCCGGGTAGAGTGGTGCACGCCTATAATCCCAGCTACTCGGTAGCTGAGGCATGAGAATTGCTTGAACCTAGGAGGTGGAGGTTGCAGTGAGCCGAGATTACACCACTGCACTGCAGCCTGGGCAACAGGGCAAAACCCTGTCTCAAAAAAAAAGAAAAAAGAAAGAAAAAGAAAAATGAACTTCAAATGTTTTAAATGTGCTATACTTAAGTAAATTACTTTCACAAAAACTCAAAAATATATTAAAAATCCAGAAATATATTAAGAATCTCAGAAATACATTAAGAATATATTCAGAAACTCAGAAACTTAGTGCCTTACAAAACTTTCTTAGGAAAATTAGTTATTCCCTGGCTTACAGGGTGCCTTGGCCTTACAGATGTGAAGAAGGTCTCTTCCTGGCTGACTAGAAGTTTTAGGGTATTGGGAGTACCTCAAGAAGAGAGAAATTCCCACACATTTATAGATATTACAGGTGATATTGGGTAGGGTTTGTTGAGTTTGCTTTCCTAGCTTCAAGATCACAAATAAAACAGGCTTTTAAAAGCCCAATGTGAGGGCTGGGCACAGTGGCTCACCCCTGTAATCCCAGCATTTTGCGAGGTCTAGGTGGGTGGATCACCTGAGGTCAGGAGTTCAAACCCAGTCTGGCCAACAAGGCAAAACCCCATCTCTAATAAAATACAAAAATTAGCTGGGCATGGTGGTGGATGCCTGTAATCCCAGCTACTTGGGAGGTTGAGGCAGGAGAATCGCGTGAACCTGGGAGGCAGAGGTTGCAGTGAGTCGAGATCGTGCCACTGCACTCCAGCCTGGGTGAGACACCGTTTCAAAGAAAAAGTAAAAGAAAAGCCCAATGTAAGATTCATTTTAAGAACTTCCAAAAAGAACTTAATTTTGTCATGCTTCAATACTGTATGGCTCTTGATTTGGTAAAGCAAATTTAAAGAAACCTAAGCAGTAAATTAACATTCTTCCTTTACCCATAATTAATAATTGAGCCAAATCTAATGTCAGGATTATTTCAATCACAAAATAATCTTTTCTCTCTCTTTTTTATAATTATTATAATCACAAGGCAGGGGTCAGGGAATATTGTCAGAAAAAATCATGAATGCTTGGAAATGGACAAAAAAAGATAGTGGGTGTTTGTCTAGCTCACTTATCCAGGTTATCTCAGCCTTTCCATGTCTTTGAGCTGTTTTACTCCATAAATTATAGATAACCAAGAGCAAAGCAAACGATATTTTCCATAGTCATGCAAATTCTGTCCAGTGAAGGGACAACTGATTCCCAGTACCGATGACCACTCCTCTTCTAGAAAAAGTTAGTTTTTGAATTTTAGAATTTGTTCTGGTTATTCTTTCATGTCTTTTTTCCCATCTAATCATTAGAATTTCTTTGCTAGTGTTAATAATTCTTTTAGCATTTCCTTTGAAGTTACATTAAATTTATAGGTTATGTATAAAATTTATATCTTTGTGAAATTGAGTCTTTATGTCCAAGAACAAAGTATGCCTTTCCATTTGTCCAAGTCTTCTTTTGTTTCCCTTAACAGCTTTTAAAATTTTTCTTTTTATGATGCTTCTACATTTCTTGTTAAATTTATTTCTGAGTATTTTATCATATTTGCTGCTACCATAAATTGGACCTTTTCTTTCAGCGCCAGAGGCATAACTCATAATTGGTTTAAGTCAAGCAGGATGGTCCCATTTCTCTTCCCAGTCTATACCCTTCTGACCAAATGAAACATAAGAAGAAGATATAAGGAGGAAGGTTTTCCTCATTGATCTGAAAGAGAACACATGGGAAGAAGCAGGCCCTCTTATGAAGGAAGAAAAAAAACACTCATTTTTTAAACTGAGGTTTTTTTCCAGTAATTTGCAGCTGAAAACATCTGATAAAATAATTATAATTGTACAAAATATATCTTATATTTTATCTCTTTATTTAACCTTAACTCATTATCTCTTTAGACAGAATCTACAAATTCCACCTAATTATCAATGATGACTTTACTACATTTCTATTCAGGAGTGGCATTCAGACACACACACTTCTGTGGAAATAAATAAAAATCAACCAAACAAAAACAGGCAAGGTCTATTTATTCAGGGCTTGTTAGAGCAAGTGAGTCAGCCGCCATCACTTGCACTCTAGCAAGGACTCAGAAGCTCCCCAGATTGAAGGCTATCTGTGTGAGGAAGCTGTAGGTGGGCTAACTAGAAGCAGAGCCTGGTCCAGCATAATCTCATCTTAAGATCCTTATCTTAGTTCGATCTGCAAAGGTTCTTACTCCAAATAAGGTCATATTCTGAGATTCTAGATGAATCTATCTTTTGGGGGGGACACTATTCAACCCATGACAGTATACAACTCTGAATATACTAAAACCATTAAATTATATTATTTACATAAGTGAATTTTATGATACCCGAATTGTATCTCAACAAAGACATTTAAAGACCTAGATAATACTTTTGAAATTTTTTGAAAACTTAATAAAATAACCATATAAAATCATGTAAAGTACTAAAATATTTACTACTAAAACAAACCACTAAGCCAAGAAAGATTTACAGAGCACATAAAATGAGAAATTGTCCCATCTCTTTCAAAGAAGGTAGGATAATTCTTATTCCAATATGAAATAAGGATAATACAGAAAGAAAACAATATACTAATTTTATTCAAAACCTATATGCAAAGACGACCATTTGATCATCTCAACGTATTTTTTAAAGTTATTTAACAACATTCCATGTTTATAATTGATTTTTCAGTGTTAAATTGATTGAAGGTATTCACCAGAAACTAGTTGACACAGTAGAAACATTTATTTTAATGTCATGACCAAGACAAAAATGATCACTACTACTACCACTTCCACTGGAGGTCTTAGGCAAAATGTTATAAGACAAGGATAGGTCCCTGTGCAGACCTGTTTTTTCAGATTGTTGTACACATACTGGAAATGGCTGCTTCAACTGCCCATAAATGTACTTCCTATCATAGTATCTAAATACCTAGATATACTGTACCCCAATTACTAGAAGAAAAAATATTTTTGCCTCAGATAAGGCCAGGAGTCAAATCCTAATGCAATCACTTGTGATCCTAGGAGCAAACTACATTACCCACTGACTCCTAGAAAGGAATAGCACACTTGGGATTGCTGGAAAACCTTTGGGAGCATGTTTCCAATGGTATTAGGCAATATATAGAGTCAAAGAGCATGGGGAGTTGGGTATTTTTGTGAATGGGACTATATAAGAGACACTTGGCTTATAATGATATTGGCCATATTGATTTATAATTATTTGCTTTCATTTCAGCATCTTCCACTGTATTAGTAACTTCCTACATTTAGGGCTGGGTCTTTCTCATTTTTTCATCTTCTGCACCTAGTACCTGAATTCCTCAATATTCAAAGTCCTTATTCTTTCTTTTTTTCCCAAAAAAGTTGTAATTACACATTTCTTCCATTGATGTCTCTTGTTTACTCACAAACCCTGCCAATGTGTTAGTATATGTAATAACCTGAGGCTTATACTTCAAGACCGGGCAGCTAAAAACTCCTGAGAAACTCATTACCAGTATAAGATATTAAGAAGGAATATATTACACCATAATCAGTAACGCAAGTATTAAAATAGCAAAATTAACAATTGTAGCTAAAATTTCAAAAAATAAATTAAATGAAATTATAAAAAATAATTAATATAAAAGAAGGCAGGAAAAGAGGGAAAGAAAAACAAAGAATAGATGGGACAAATAGAAAAATAGCAAAATTACAAACAAATTCAACCATACCAATACGCACATTAAATGTAAATATTCTAAACACCCCAGTTAAAAAGCAGAGATTGCCAGATTGGATTAAAAAACAAGACCCAACTATTTCTGCCTACAAGTAATGCAACTAAAATATAAAGAGACTAACAGCTTAAAAGTAAAAAGATAGTATGTCAAAAAATAAGATATAAATGATTATACATATTATATATATACATTTGTATATATACATAGATACATAGAAAGATTGATATTAAGGAATTGGCTCACATGATTTTGGGGGATGGCAAGTTCAAAATCCATAGAGCAGGCCAGCAGGCTGAAAATTCAGGAAGGATTTCTATGATACAGTCTTGAAGCAGAATTTCTTCTTCTTCAGGAAACTTCAGTTTTTGCTTTTAACATCTTTAGCTGATTGGATGAAGCTCACCTATATTATGGAGGGTAATCTGCTTTACTTAAAGTCAACTGATGTATATGTTAATCATATCTAAAAAGTACCTTCACAGCACCATCTAGACTAGCGTTTGACCAAATAACTGGGCACCATAGCCTAGCCAAATTGACACATAAAATTAGCCATCACAAATGGAAACAGACAGAACACTAGACCAGAAAAAAAAAAAAATTAGGAGGACTATACTAGTATCAGACACGATAGATTTCAGAGCAAAAATATTGTCAGAAATAAAAAAGGACATTTCTTAATGATAAAAGCGTCAATTTATGAAGAAGGCATAGCAATCTAAATGTTTGCATACTTAATAGCAGAGCTTCAAAATACATTAAGCAAAAAATGATAAAGTTGCAAAGAGAAATACATAAATACACAATTATGGTCAGATATTTCAATATCCATCTCTCAATAATTGATAAAACAAGTAAAAGGAAAATCAGTAAAGATATAGTAGATTTGAAAAACACTATCAAACAAATTGAACTTACTGACATTTATAGAACACCCCAACCAACAGCAGCAAAATACATATTATCTTCAATTATACACATAAACCAAGAAAGGCCATGAAACAAGACTCAAATTTAAATGCATTCAAGTCACACAGAATGTGTTCTGTGACAACAAAGAATTAAGTGAGAAATGAATAACTGAAAGTTAGCAGGGCCAGGCATAGTGGCTCATGCCTGTAATCCCAGCACTTTGAGAATCTGAGGTGGGAGGATCACTTGAGGTCAGGAGTTTGAGACCATCCTGGGCAACATAGCAAGACCTTGTCTCTACAAATAATTTTTAAAAATTAGCCAGGCATGGTGGCACACACCTGTGGTCCCAGCTACTTGTGGGGCTGAGGCAGGAGGATCCCTTGAGCCCGGGCAGCAGTTGAGGCTACAGTGAGCTGTGATCGCACCACTGCACTCTAGCCTGGGTGACAGAGTGAGGCCCCATCTCAAAAAAAAAAAAAAAAGTTACCTGGAAAATTCTTAAATATTTGAAAACTAAAGACACACTTCTAAATAATCCATTAGTCAAAGCAAAAAATCAAAGAGGAAAACCAAAGATATCTTCAACCAAATTTGAAAACTAAAATTCAACATATTAGAATTTGTGAGATGCTGCTAACACAGTACTTAGGGAAATTTTTATAGTATTAAATGTTTGGAATGGAAAAAAGTAAAGTTCTCAAATCAGTAATGTCAGCTTCCACCACATGAAACTAGAGAAAGAAGAGCAAATTAAACTGAAAATCGTAAGAAGAAATGAACTAATAAAGATTAAAGCAGAAATCAAAGGAATAGATAGAACCAATAGAGAAAATTAATGAAACCAAAAGTTGGCTCTTTGACAGGTTCAATAAATTAACAAACCTCTAGTTATACTAATCAGGAAAAAAGAGAGAACACACCAATTGCTAATTATAAAAATGAAACGTGGCATCATCGCAAATGCGCTAGAATTAAAAGGATAACAATGGAATACAAAATGAACAATTTTGTGTCCAAAAAAATGACAACATAGGTCAAATGGACAAATTCCTTGTTTGTCAATGTATCACAGTTCACTCAAGAAGAACTTCGATAGATTTGATAAATTACCTAATATCTATCAAAGAAATGTAATTAGTACTTAAATACCTTCTCACCAAAAAAAAATCTCTAGACCCAGATATCTTCACTAGTAAAGTTAAGGTAGAAATAATACCAATTCTACACAAACTCTTCCAATAAATTGTAAATGAAGAAATAGTTCTCTAACCTCATTCCATGAGGCCAGCATTACCCTAATACTAAAACCAGACATTACAAGAAAACTATAGATCAACCTCTTTTAAACATACATGCAAAGATTCTAAGCAAAATTTTAAAACTCCAATATATAATATATAAAAGGGTTAATGTACTATGACCAAGTGGGGTTTCTCTCAGGAAAGCAATTGATTCAAAAATCAATCAATATAATTCACTATACTAGTGTGGTGGTTAATATTGAGTGTCAACTTGATTGAATTGAAGGATGTAAAGTATTGTTCCTGGGTGTGTCTGTGAGGGTGTTGCCAAAGGAAATTAACATTTGAATCAGTGGACTGGGAGAGGCAGACCCAACCTCATTCTAGGTGGGCACCATTTAATCAGCTGCCAGTGCGGCTAGAATAAAGCAGGCAGGAAATGATGGAAGAGCAGACTAGCTGAGTCTTCCAGCTCTCACCTTTCTCACGTGCTGGATGCCTCCTGCCCTCAAACATCAGACTCCAAGTTCTTCAGCTTTTGGACTCTTGGACTTACACCAGTGGTTTGCCAGAGGCTCTCAGGTCTTCAGCCACAGAATGAAGACTGTACTGTTGGCATCCCTACTTTTAAGATTTTGGGATTCGTATTGGCTTCCTTGCTCCTCAGTTTGCAGATGGTCTTTTGTGGGACTTCACCTTGTGATTGCGTCAGTACTCCTTAATAAACTCCCCTTTACATACACATCTATCTTATTAATTCTGTTCCTCTAGGGAACCCTGACTGATACAATTAGCTACCTAAAATAGAAAAACCACATGATCATCTTCGACAGAAAAAGCTATTGACAAAAACCAAATTTCATTTCTGATAAAAACTCTCAGCAACATAGGATAAGAAGAAAGTGTCCTCAATTAATAAAGGGTACTACCAAAAAACTTAGTTAACATCACACTTAATGGTGAAAGATTGAGTGCTTTCCCTCTAAGATCAGGAACAAGATAAGGACATCTGCTCTCACCACCCTTATTCAACATAATACTGAAGTTTACAGCCAGTGCAAGCAGATAAGATAAACAAAATTAAAGGCATACAGCTTGGAAAGAAAGAGGTAAAACTGTCTACTTGTAGATGATGATGTGATCATCTATGTAAAAGTCCCAATATATTTTTTAAAAGCTAATACAATAGATGAATTTAGCAAGCTTGAATTTTACAAATACAAACAAGTTGTAGTATTCAATAGCAATATGCAAAAATCAATTGTTTCTATATACTAGCAAAAAACCATTGGAAACTGAAACTTAAAAAACAATACCATAAAAAATATGAAATACATAGGAATAAATCTGACCAAAGATGGGAAAGACTAGAGGATTAAAAACTAAATAACATTGCTGAGAGATATTAACAAAGACCGAAATAAACAGAGAAATACACTCCTATCTGGATCAGACAGCTCAATATTGTTAAGATAACAATTCTCGTAAATTCCCAGCAGGCATTTCTGTAGAAATTGACAAGGTGATTCTAAAATCCATATTGGAAATACGAAGGTCCTAGAATAGCCAAAACAACTGAAAAAGAAGAACAAATTTGGGAACTAACACTACCTGATTTCAACACTCAATAAAAAGCTACAATAAGTAAGGCAGTATGGTACTGGCATAAAGATAGACAAATAGATTAATGTAACAGTATATAAAGTCCAGAAATAGACTTTTTAACAAAGCAAACTCAACATATATGGGGAGAAAGAGTATACTATTCTTACAATTATCTACATAATCTCATCTTCTTCTTCCTCTCATTAACTCTCTAATGCCACATGAGCCCCCTTGCTGTTCCTCAAACATTTGAGACATGATCTTGCCTCAGGATCTTTGTAGAAGCTGTTTCTTGTGCTTTGAATAACCAATAACCTTCTCAATAAGGCCTAATCTAAGCAACCCCAATCTTACCAACTCCAGCATTCCAATTTCCCTTTACCCACTGTACTTTTTTCTTTTGACCTTAGCACTCACCACTTTCTAATATACTATATAATTAAGCTATTTGTTAAGTTTAATTATTTTCCCTTCTTCTGTTGGAATATTTGCTCCCTGGGGATAGGAATCTTTGTTTTGTGACTACTCTACCACCAGTACCCAGACAAGTGCTTGGCACACAGTAGGCACTCAATAAAAATCTCTTGAATGAACTGTTCTCTTCTTACTTTGCAACTATATTTTAATCCCCTCTCTCAGTCTCACAATCTGTTCAAACAATATTTTATGGGTCTGAAATGCCAGACACAATTCTGAATACATTGGAACATAAAGCTGATCAAAACATGGCAATGGCACTCTGGATACTACAATGTAGTGAAAGACATGAAATCTGCAACAAATAATAACTGATGCAAAAATATTGATTCATTCATTCACTTATATTATGAGCAAGATATTGGTTTATTAACCACCAATTAAAAATTGTATTTATTAACTGTTTAAGAGTCATCATTTTAAAACATCTCCCCAACAATTTCAAATTTTGGCTGACAGTTAAGGAGCTTAGAAGTTGTAACTCAATCCTAACAAGTAAAAACTAGAACAAACTGAAAAATCAACAACTCTTCACAGATCCATCAGAAAAGTGAGGTCACAGGGCAAACCACTGCTCCAAAAATTGGAGAGACAGACAAGTGGATACAGAGAATCACAACTTACCAGAGCAGAAATCTACAAGCAAAAACCTCCAAGGGAAACAGTGCCAGGGTAGGAAAACCTGAACTGTAATTGCCTAATTGCTTGCAATTCAGCATGAGTTAATTGCAGGAGGCTTTGCGAGTTCAAAACTCTAGGGGGGGAATCGGGGGCAAGATGGCCAATGAGACAGTCAGGAGAAACATCTCCCATGGAGGGTCCAGGGCATCAGGAAGACTGGTGCACTCCTAGCAGATCTTCAGAGGGAAGGCTTTGAGAGAGGACAAAGAGGAGACACAGATGCTAGGCTGAAAGGGGAGGAAGCTGGGAACCGTGCTTGGGGCTACCATGCACTGGACTCATTCCTGGCCCCCAGTGACTCCAGGGGAAGGGGTGAGTTGAACAGGCAACGGGCAACCCACTCTCACCATGGACTCAGGAATCCTGGCGGGGGAGACCCCTTGATCACCACAGACACTTGAATTGGCAGGGAGAGCTGCCCAGAGAAGTGGTAGGGGCAGAACTCCAGATAAAGTGGAACCCAGAGGGTTAGGAGTGCAAGTGT